GAAGAGTTCTTTATATTACCAGTTAGTAACCTCTCCACGACTAATAAAAATTGCTAATATGCATGTCATATAAAGGGACGGTATGTATATCTACTTGGGTTTCTGGAGGGCGATTCCCTACATGGGTAGTGCCCTGTCGGTCAAAAGACCAGCTTGTCGTCGTGCCTATGCCTGCGATGTGCGCCGCGCCCCCCTCCCCAGACCCACGCGGCGCTCGCGGGGCGGTTCCACTATGCTGTTGCTCCCTGTGCTGCCTGCAGTGCCAGCCCCAAATGCGGTGGCTGGAACGAATGCAGTGACTGGACAGCTGAAGGTCCAGCTGACGAGCCTCGGTCTTGAGCAACTTGAGCTTCTTCGTGTATGTCTTGAAATTGCTGGGCTGCACCGAGCCCAGCAAGCCGTAGACTATGGCTGCAGTCTGCACCCGCCACCCCTTGTGCTCCAGTTCTGCCACGATCGGTTGGTACTTGAGTGTCTTGTAATCTTGGCTAAGCTGTAGAGAGGAGTGTGAAGCGCTTGCAGACTGGTATTCAAAGGTGATTGCCAGTCAGCAATCAACATGGTCTTGGCTGCAGCGTCACGTAACACGATGCCCAGCCGTAGCGCCGCGCCTGTAAATTATGGAACCGATTAATTGAGGCTCATCTCTGCACTTGACTTGTCTCAGACAAGCGCGCGCTTGATCTAGTCACCAATTCGTTGCAGCGCGTCATCGTGTCCCTGTCGGATGGCGTCCATATTCTGGGAACAGTGATTGAGCACGTGTGCCAAAGTCTCGGCGCTGGAGCAGCATGGATTTCGGCAGGTGTGATTCGCCCTGAGCCTACGACGCTTGAGCACAGAATTTATGTCTACTTGATTGTGCGGAGCCTGAATGTCAAACCGGTGCTCCGCGTCCGACAGTCCTTCCCCTGTCATCACGAACTTGGCCCATAGACCGCCATAAACACGAACGGTCTTGTCCTGATCCACCAAACTCTTTCACCGAGTTTGGTGACGTATCTTCGTATGAAGCTTCACGTTTCGCAACACCATTTTGTGATCAAGACACTGTTCAAGGTGAGGCGCGCGAAGTCCTAGGGGGTCATGCTTTTCGTGTCCGTACGTTCGGAGAAGTCGAGTTGGAAAGTGCTCATGATGCGTTGCACATGCACCTATAGTGATCCGATGTCACTTTTACGTCGCAGCACCTCTGCATAAGGCGAAGCAGCCAACTGCGAGTTCAGCAACAGCCGACAAAGCTCCAAAATACGTCCTCGCCAGTGCTCCTCCTGCAGTCGATAGCGCTTGCTAGCTGACTGGCACACCGGAGCCAGGGCCACTGCTGCCACTGATGGGTCCTTGGAATGTAGCATCTGCCATGCATGCGCCAACTGCAGTGCTTGGTGCATCTCCACCAGCGACTGCAGGCCCAGCCCACCACCCGACGTCGGCGTGTAGAAGAACTCGGTGGTGGCGGACTGAGGAAGACGCAGCAGGTGCCGCAAGCCCTTGGACACAGCGCGATCAAAGCCTTGCAGTTGGGACTGGAGCGGGCGTAGGTGGCGAAGCGCATATTCTACCTTGGGGTAGACATACGTCTTCAGCGCCTTCACCACCTGCCACGATGCTAGCCCTGACTGCATCTACGCCACCGCCTCCCGCTTAACTTGCTGAAGCTTGGGTGCCAGCTGGAGGCGGTGGTGCACGTGGTCAAAGCCATCGCCCACTCCCAGGTATGTATAGCTCTCCTGGAGGCTGAGTGGGGCGATGGCATCACCCTGGACCTCGAGACGCACGTCTTCATCACGAATCGCGTTGCCACGTGCGTCCCTCTTCACGACCAGACTGGCACTCTTGGCCGGGTTCGCACGCAACCCGGTCCACGCAAGAAAGCGGGTGACCACGCCGTGACACCGTCGGATGCCGTCAGCGCTGTCGCTGAAGACCTTCAAGTCGTCTGCGTAGGCGGTGACGCACGGTCGCACATCTTCCGCCAGAGGAACACCAGCGCCGTCCAGCTGCTCCAGGCGACGAACAAGTGGCACCAAAGCAGCGATGAACAGGAGGGGGCTGAGGGGACAGCCTTGAAATACACCCACCTCCTGTCGCACTGGGTCCGTGGCTCGTCAACCGCATTGGTGACCACGAACGCCGATCCACAGTAAATGTCTTGGCAACGAGCAACAAAATCGGCTTCAACGCCGAGGTGGCGGAGCACGCGCCACATGAGCTCTTGGGGCAGTGACCCGAAGGCATTGCGAAGGTCATACCAGACCTGGTAAAGACGACGGTGTTGCCTCCGGGTCTGTTCCAGCAGAGTAGTTGCCACGAAATTGTGTTCGTGACATGCCGGAACCCCTTCTGTGCCATGGGCAAACGCGCGTTACCCTCGAGCCAGCGTGAGAGACGAAGTGCCAGCAACCCACTATACAGCTTGTAGATAGTGGCAGCAGACATATCGGCCGCCAGTTTGTCGACTGCATTGGGTCGCCCTTCTTGTGGATGAGACGCACAAATCCAACTTTCCAGAGAGCGGGCACACGCCGATGCAACCAACAAAACTGGAACGCGGCGTGGAGGAGCAGGACCAGCTGCTCAGCGAAGCGGCGGTAGACATCGTAGCCGATACCGTCGTGTCCCGGGCTTGATATCTTGGTCGCGCGCGAAAGCTGATCTTCCACCTCATCAACCTGCAGCTCACCTGTGAACGCATCAGGGGCCACATCGGCCGGCTGGAAGCTGTCCAGCGCTGCCCGGAACTCTTGGCCAGACGCTGACGTGTAGTCGATCACTGCAGGTGCCGTGCTGGTGCCTGTAAAGTGTCGGTGTAGTTCCTCGCGCCCGATTGGGCAAGTCTCAGGATGATCCTCCACCGCCGTCTCCGTGGATGCTTCTGAAACATCTTCTTCACGCACTTGGCCTCATCAGAAGTGAACTTCTGCCGTATATGCTGTTTGTCTAGTGCAGAACGAACGCGCCCAGCACGTCGACGAGCCTTTCTGACAGCACGTCTATCCCCTGGTGTGGACCGCTGAACTTCTGCTAAGTTGTTTAGTGCCTCGTCCAGGCGATGCTCTCGTTGATTGCGCGTCACACGAGGCGGGCGTTGGCGTGACGGTGCAGAATTCCGAGAGTCTGAGTTAGTCGCCGGAGACGCAGCGTAGGGTATAAGCAGCCCTCGTATGCTGTCTGGGATCTCCCCAATTTAGCCTTTCCCCGACTCCCTACTGTCAGCGTCGATGATATTGCTGGCCATTCTCTCCACAAATGCCTGCAGCGCAGCAGCCGCTGCGTCGTGTTCCTCGTCGTCCAGCTTGCGTAGGCGCAACCGGGGTTGCTTTTCTGGATCGGAGCCAGGACCGATATGCGGTGTTGGAAAGACCTCGCCATCATCGCGTGCAGCAATATCCGCCTCAATGTCTACCAGCGCTTCGTCTACGCTGCCTTTAGAGCCTATCACCGACGCGTTAAGGGCCGGGGGGTGAGAGGTAGACGGCGAGGTGGACTCCGAGGGCGCAACAAGAACGAAGCATGCACTAGTATCTGCATCGTGGTGGTTGCACGTAGTGCGAGTGCGCTTGCAGTCGATGGCGCGTTTTTTTTGCCAGGCGGTCAGCATGACCATTGGTGTTACAGTCAATGTGCTGCAGACAATAACAGTCGAGCGATCTCAGCTCCGAGCTTTTTACGCGGTTGCGTAGCCGTCGGAGGTTTCCATTCCCGCAGCCAAAGCTACCGCGCACCTGAGAGATTACTAGGTGACTATCTCTCTTAACCTTTAGCCGCATAGCGCCGTGATGCAGCGCCCCACGAACCTCCACCAAAAATGCTGTAAACTCAGCAGTGTTGTTAGTCTCGTTCCTGCAGGGGAGAAAGTGGGAGCATGTCCACACCACAGCACCACTTGGATCGAACAACGCCGCGATGGCGCCACCAGGCCCGGGGTTCCGGCGGCAGGCACCATCGAAGCGCAACGTCCATGGCTCCACTGCAGGAGATTCTAGGTCTTTCTCCATCACGGCAGGTTGGGTGGCCAAGGTGGATGTTGGTGTCGGTTGTGCTGGGCTCGGTGGGGTAGGCGCAGGGGCGATGACTTGATCTCCCATCGGCTGAATACGACGGGGGCACGGCGGAGCAGGCGTAGTATCTTCTCCGGTGATAAGGTGCACAACGGCTGCCATTCCGATCGCGCGGTGACATGGCCCCCACCGCGTGGCACGAGTGCCAGGCACGACAGGTGTCAGTGGTCTTCGCACTGCCGGAGCAGGAACCGTCGTTTCACCTGTGCAGAGTCAGTGGCGCCCAGCTCGCGACGGCTGGGTCCCGTGCGCGTCGGGCGGGCAGCCGCGTCGTCCATCTGCACGTCGTGAGGGAGCTCGTCCAAGAGTTCCACGTCGATTCCTTCCCTGAGCACGTCGAGATCCTCGGCGGTACGTGGATCGTCTTGGTCGTGAAGGCGGCGTCGCTTGCCACCGACACGAACTTCAGGGGGGCACCGCACGGGGGGGACATGTAGGTGCCCTGGAGCCACCGTGGCTGGCACGACGCTC